GCGTACGGGAGGCTTTGCCGACCTCTTTCCCCGGGTCTCTTTGGGGATGTATGAGAATTGCCAAATTGGCTACTGTCATTGGGCCTGATGAAGTCCATCTTTCAACATTCACCAAAAACAATTACACCAAAAACAAGTGAATGAGAGATTAAAACTACATACAGAATAAATGAAAGTAAGTTCGGTTGTATCACACAAACAAAACCATCCTTTCCTCCTCTCCGACATGGGCCACACCACCAGGAAGAGACAAGTGCTCCCCACTATTCAAAGCTTCTGAGCTCATGTCTCAAGTCAGAAAATCCAGGGGAGTCTATCTTCTAATGAAGCCTTAAGTGAGATTTCTGGAGGGGCAAAAGGACAAAACGGGAAACCCCTTGTGGACCTAACTATTTTGTATGCAATAAAAGGAAAGTGGATTTTGGATGCCTCTTATCACAGTTTATGAATACCCCACGGAGAACCACTGCTTTGTAGAATCAGCTTCGGGTTTAAATCTGCTTGATTAAAGAGATCTTCCTTGCCAGAGGTTTCTCACTGCCCTAAGTCAGGTGACAGTGGCATTTATTCGATATCTGTACCATGGTAATTGACTAAACAACAGCCGTGTGCAGAGGACTGTATTAGACCCTGAGTGGATGAGACAGACCTGAACCCTAGGCCCGGCTTACACTGATATTCCACAGTGCCTCAACCAGGCTGGTGCCTTGTTCCTACCAGGTAACATTCTCTTACTCTACCATAATGCAGAGTGTTACAGGCCATACCTGAAGGCAAGAACGAAACATGTAGAGAAATAACTAACCTTATATAGAACTTCACATTTACAAAGCATCATTACATTTTTTCATTTGCTCCTCACAGCAATTTTATGACTTATGTGTAGCATGCCTAATTTCTGGATGACCTAGTGTCACTCTTGGGACCCTGCTATCCTCAGGACGTTTGACCACAGAATACCCTTTTCCCTCCAATCGTACATCTGTATTTGATAAATGTGTACAAAATACTGAATAATCTAACATTTCTCTCCTTTTTTTTAAGGCCCAAACACCAGTGCTTCCTATCTTTGGAGGAGAGCTTGAAAAAGCTCTTAGCATTATCTATTACTAAGCACCACAATCAAGGTCATGTCATTCCTCAAGATAAAGACTGTTTTGTAACCTTAAAAGGGGGATGAAGCAGGAGGAGACTGTTCCATTACCAATTGAAAACAAAACATAGACACATTGTAACTACTTCTATCAGTTAAGATGCCCATCTCTTAAAATGGCAGGAGCCAAAGCCTTTTTTCAGGATGGCAAATGCAAATATGACTTAACTAGGTACAATGTTCCATTTCTTTTACTTTGCACACTGTTTTACCAGCATAAAGTGTTCATTCATAAGATACAGGCTCACTTCAAAGTTTCTTTCTTCAGAGAGAGAGAGAGAGAGAGAGAGAGAATTCCATCAGGGTCTCCCTGCCGTGATCCACCCAGTCTCAATCCACCTGGATTACAGGCACATTTGGACCCAGCCTGCTCCAGGCTCCCTGACAAGAATCCAGGGCCTTTCCCAAGTGGGTCCAGTTGCACTACAGCTGTGCCACCACCTGGCCCCATTGAGTCTCACTTTTGAAAGCCTTCTTTTTGCAAAGAGCAAAGCAAAACCAAAGTTCAAGCATCCCACTCGCCAGGCTGTGAAAGGGATGACACGGATTCATAATTCATTTTTAGAGCCCAGCACCAAAGGCTCCTGTGTAGATCACAACACCTAGCGCTGAGCACATTTTGATACGGGCTGGTCTGACTGCTGTACCTAGCACCTCCTGTTAGCCGGCATGTCCCTGCTGTTACAGTAACTGTGTATTTCATCCTACCATTCTCTCCTAACCCACACATGTAAATTACAATACGCTAAGTAATCCTAAAGCAGATGAACTTTTCCAAGAGAGAACATCATTACAAAAAGCGTACTATCATAGTAAAATCCAAAGGGAAAGGCATTGACGTGGTGCTGGTGCCAGGCCCCAGGTCTGGAGGAAGACAATAAGCAACACCATGATAAATAAAGTCAGTTCCTCATGGAGTGCGCTTACCCGCTAGGAGGAAAGATGGCAAACAGGCAGCTGATATGACACATCCCTCATAGGAAATGGCTGGCAGAAAAGGACACATAATAGACTTACCCGTGAACTGTTTAATGAGAACAGAAACGTAAGTTGGAGCAACTACTTAGAAGCAAATGTGATGGAGAAAAGGGAATGCAAGTGTTCCAGGCAGAGAGCAGCAGGTTCAAAGGGCAACCAAGCCCAGCAGAAAGCGAAAGGGTGTTATGGTAAAAGATAAGGCAGAGGAGGGTACTCGGGACCCAAGCTGTGTACACTGAGGACAAAGAAAAGGCGTTCCAGATTTTTATTTTTGTAAAGATCCCTCTGCCTGTGCTTAAAGAACTCACTAGGAGATGGGAGAGTCTGGAAGTGGGGAGTCCAGTGAGGAGGCTGATGTAATCAGGTGAGAGTCTGGGTGGCAGAAATCAGGGATGGGGACAAAGACAGATCTGAAAGCCACTTAGGAGGTCCACAAGGCTGGGTGGCTGGTTAACTGGGGAAGGAATGGGGGGGCGACAGGCAGCTGAGATGGCTCCTGGTCTCCACCTGGGCGCTACTGACGGAGGATGGGGAGAGACTGAAGAGGGCTTGGGGCCAGGCCCACTGAAAACAAGAGCGACACGGACGAGAAAGCCTTCCCTGCCCCGCTTGCCTAAGGGGGTTTCGGAGCAGACCCTCCTGAGTCTGGCAGCGGGTACAGCCACAGGTATGAGCTGCAGGGAGTCACGAAAGCCTGCAGGTCTGGAGAACGGGAGCTTAGTGCGTGGTTAGCTCTCCGGGAAAGGTAAACCACAGTCAACCTGAAAAATGCGGGCCCCAGACCCAGAAGGCAGCGGAGACCCAGCCCTCACCCCAGGACCCGCCTTTAGCCCTCGGG